TTGTGACTCCTCCTATGCATGCAGACCTGCATGTCATGATTATTTTTGGAAGCGGGTTTTTGAGTCCAGCTGATGTAAAACCTGAAGTGACCAGTTCAGGCAGAGTGGAGGCCTAAGGCTAGGAAATGTGTCACCGCTCAGAGGAGCTATCAGAAGGTCTGCGACAAGAAGCACGACTCCTGCATAGCACATCTCCACACATACCTGTCCTACGGCCCTCTGCTTAACACCCAGGAAAGAATATGAGGATGGCAGGGATTTACCCTAGTGTTCTTTGTGAAACTGGAAGTGTTCTTGGTCAAACTTCATCACTCTGATTCAGAAATTGTATGTATATTTTTGTCAGACAGCTTTCTTCAGCTTCTCAGAACTGAGGGGCCATGTGAACAAATACCTTCCTGATTCAAACTCAGGCAGGCAGCTGTCACGGGCAGTTGGGATGAGAGACTTTATAACTAATTGAAGGGTAATGCTTTCGGGTAACCCTAGGAAGAGTAACTGTTGGTGGCTCCCCTTGAATGGGAAAAGTTACCTGTGCAATTAATTTTTAATACTCCATGAAATACTAAAAAAGAATTGGTTTGTTTAAAAGCCTGTTTTCTCATTTGTTAACCATTGTCCTTTTCAGTTTGTACATTATTGCCATCAGTCCTAATATAGTATGAAATAAGTTTCAGCCTAATTTAGAAAAATGATCATGAATTCTGAATTCAAGTCATTTTGAATACTCCATTATAAATAGCTAATATTTATTGCATATTTACTATATATTAGCCTCTGTTGTGGAGGAAAGTTTTATTAAATCAAATGATGAAGGGCTGTTGGAAATATTATGGAGCTCTTGTAACTGAGCAGGATTATGCATATACGTTTATAATTTTATTAGCAGGATAGCATGTATCATGGTAAAGAAGAAACAAGAAGTAATAAACAAGGCAATACAATTACAAGATGAATTCACGGAGGGAAAGGAGTAATTATTTGAATTGTATTTTCTTGTTTAATTAACATTTATTGTCTTCTGGGTAACAGGCACTGTTGGGTACTTTTACATCTGCTATTTTATTTAATTACAAAGAGTTCTTCACTTCCAGATAAGATTTCCCAGGGGCTTCCTTTGACTAATGAGTTATCCTAGCCTGGTGCTTCTGGTCCTGCTATACAGGAGATTCACCTGGGGAGTTCTGGAGACATCTGGTGCTGGGGTTTCTTCCTTCAAGAGTCTCTTTACCTGTGCAGAGTTGGCACCCAGCAGGAATATTTCAAAATGTGGTGAAGCTGGAGCTGTCATTTCACTTGCAGAAGAAAGACTGACCTAAACTTGTCAGCAATGAGCAACTCTAGCAAACTTTGGTGGTACAGAGAGCATGCTAAGCTAGGTGGAATACATGCCACACCTATATTCCTTTGTCTGCATCCTATTATTGGGATGTGGGAAGTGTCAGAATAATTATGGAATGAAGCAGGCTAGAAAGCATTGCCCCGAAGGTCTCAGGCCCTGAATTTTCAGGTGCACTTAATTTGTAGCCTGGGTTTTGCTCTGTGGTGTTCATTGGAAACAACATGCCAGTGACTTACATAATAAAAGGTTTTTTGTTGTTGTGCTCTTTTAAGAAAACAGGACCCTATATAAGGAACTTATATACTAAAGATAATTCCTTTTCATGAAATGCAGTACATACATATGCGCAGAATACAGATTTGTGACTAAAACAGCTTACGACACAGAATTATAAGGATTCTGGATAGGAATGTCTTCTTAAATGTCATCTGTGATGTTACAGTAAAGTTGCCTCAGGGCTAAGATTAAAAGAAATAACAAGAAAAAAACTAAGTGACTTCGAAAAGCTCTATTTTTAAAAAAAATTATTATAGCCTTAGAGTAGTGATGGCAAATCCTTTAGAGCTTTCAGCGATAGTAGCCTGCTGTGGCATGAGTGCTGTACATTTGCCACCACTGCTTTAGGTCATGTAATAGAGACTTTAAGAATGATTTAGGGCTGGGGATGTGACTCAGTGGTAGAGCTCTTGCCTTGCATGCCCAAGGCCCTGGGTTCAATCCCCAGCACCACATACATTGAAAAAACTCCAAAAATAATGATAAATAAATGAATTTTTTAAAAAAGGAATGATTTATAGTCTAAAATATATCTAGTCCCTTAAAAAATTGCTGATCATCTTCATGAATAGGTTTGCTCTGATGGGAATTTTTAGTCCTGCCTAGAAAACCCTAGGAGTTGGGAAAGTGTGGTATAGTTGGTGGTGGGGTAAGGGAAGCTTCCCCCGGACTTGCACACGTTAAAAGTTTTCTCCTAAAAGTAAGCAATACTTCCAGTAGAGGTGACTTGATGGCCTTCTGTTTGAACAGTACCGCGCTCCTTTTAGAAACAGCAGGGCACTTGTGCTAGAGACCTCAGGCAGGTCACATGTTCTCTTGGGCCTGAGGATCTTTACTGGTGTAAAAGGGAACTGGATGGGAAAGAGCTGTCAGTTTTCAGAGCTTGGATTTCAGTCTCAGGGGAGTGCAGGGAGAGGGGCCCGTTGAGTGGAGTCTGCTGGGTCTGCTCAGCAAGGGCTGCAGGACACATGGACTCTGGGGAAGTGCTCAAGTGCTCCGCACACAGTTTTGGGGGTGTGTTATGCATCAGGCATAGTTCCCATGCTGGGGACCCTGGAATGACTGAAGCAGGGCGTCAGCCTTGAGGTAGCTCAGCACAGAAAATTGTAGCATTTTCTCAGCTGGATCTGGGGCTGAGTGGGAGGAGAGGGAGTGGGCAAGAAGGCTGATGGTGTTAGGAGCCCTGAGTGTTTTTACAGAGCCGATGACAGGTAGAGGATAGCACACTCCTTGAGTCACTGCTCATTCACTCCAGAGAGAGAAAAGAGGAGGAGGCCGGGCCCCGTGGGATGCTTGGTGTGTGCTGTGTGTTCGAACCAGACTATGGGCCTTTACCATGCCTGCGAAAGGGCCTTCGGGAAAGATCGGCCGTGGGGTCCCAGAAGAGCATAGCGTCTGCTCTGAGCAATGAGGTGGCTTGGGGGACCTCCTATTCCAGGCAGGTTGCCCTGGCAAGCCCACCCGTTCATGTCTGCCGCTTGTGCTTGACCAGGTGAGCCAGAGTCTAACCTGCAGGCCTTTGCTTGTGCTTCTGTGGTGGAGGCAGCTGGGGTTCAGAGGGTGGCTGATTTGCCCGAAGCCAGGCAGCCCGGAGGCCAGGCTGCAGAGGAGACAGCTGGTCTCTGGGGCTGCAGTCCACGTTCTCTCTGTGCAGATCATGGAAATGAAAGAAGTCGCCCTTGTGTTGAGGCTCCCACCATGCTCCTGCCAGGGCCACACTATGTCCTGGGTTTGTCTCCAAGCTCTTCTGAGTGTTCTTAAAAACAGAGCAAACCAGGTTTTCTGAGAGTGAATTTGTGTGCTTTTTCTGACTTCTAGGGCTTTGCCTAAAGAATTTCCCAAGTGAACAAATGGTTCCATTTTTGGTTTTGTAAATTTGGTTAAAGACTCAGACAGGAGCAAAACCCATCGTTACTGTAACAGGAAGACATAGCAAGAGGAGGCAGGAGAGCTGTGAGCACGAGTCTGGGCGTGTGTGTGTGATGTACATGTGTGGGGCGTGTGCATGTTCCTAGCGTGGATTATGTGGGGTGTATGTGTGCGCTGTGGCAGTGTACATGTGTGTGTGTATGTACACATAAGCGTGCACACACGTGACATAGATTGTGAGCGTGCTGAGGTGGTCCTTCAGGTGAATCCTCTCTGGCCTCAGAGCTGTCCTGTATTGTTTGAAGGGGAACATTAAGGTACACTCATGGGGGCTGGGGATTTAGCTCAGCGGCAAAAGCGCCTGCCTGGCAAGCGCAAGGTGGTGGGTTGGTTTCCCCCTACCCGAAAAAAAAAAAAAAAAAAAAAAAAAAAAAGGTACACTCATGGGAAAACAAGAACAACAACAGGAAGGAAACCTGTGTTGGCAACAGAGGTGCTGGCAAGCACAGCAGAAGTGGTAGGAATTATCAGCAGGTAACCGTCTTCCAGGCAGTGAGACCTGGCCTCAGCCCTTTTGTGAATAAAATAGGGGGTGGTTACGTGGCTTCCGATAGTGTCAGCCCCTAATGAAAAGCAAAGCAGAAACACTAAGGCAGTTAAAGATTTAATCAAAGTAAAGGCCAGAAAAAAAAGGCATTCTGTTTCACTTCCATCCAATATTAAGGGTGTCTAGACACTGTGGTCTGTGCTCCAATTTTCATGCTAAAATGCTGGTGAATGCATTAAATGGGACGTTGTCTAACTGTGGTTTTCTGAGAACTCTCTTTGATTCATAAGCTTTTGTTTCTGTAAGAGATTTTTGAGGGTGACAAGGCTACTGTAATGTACATGTTTGCTTTCCTTTCTATGCAAAGTAGAAACCTAAAACGAGAAGTGATTCAGGGCCAGAAAAGCTGTACTCAAAAGTTCCAACTCAAGTGAAGCTGAGCGTTTTGCTGGGAACAAGACTTGGTGTTGTTCAGTGTCCTTTAGATTAGAATTTGGAGACTCCCAGGATAGACTGACCCTGTCCACTGCCTCTGGGACAGCACAGTCCAGCCCACCTGTCCTTGTTAGGCCTTCAGTTCAGGTCTCTGCTCTTCCCTTCTTTGAATCGATATTCTTTATCTGTAATAAACTATTACTTTTTATTTTTTTTTTTTTTTTTGGTTTTTCTCCGGTACCGGGAACCGAACTCACGACCTTGCGCTTGCCAGGCAGGCGCTTTGCCGCTGAGCTAAATCCCCAGCCCCTTAAACTATTACTATTTTGAGTACCTAGTGAGAAAAGTGTTGGTGAAACAATCCCGTAAAATGTCTTGGTCTCTGAAGATGTGACTTGGAGTTGTTATTCCCAGACCGAGCCTCTGGTACGGGAAAACAAATACCAGCAGTGAGGATTTACAGGTGTGTGTGTGGTGTGTGCGCCTAGGACCGCTGTAACTTACTCACTCCTTGCCGTAATTCTCTTACAGGAGAAGTAACTGAGACCTGGAGCTTGAATAACCGGTTCAAGGTTACCGAGTTGGTAAGTAACAAAGCTGGGGTGGGACCTTGGCCCTCTGGCTCCAGGGCCTGTGCTCTTCACCGCTTCCCTCCAAGGAGAGAGTGGAGTGGATGGTGACGCCCAGGGCACATGCAGGTTTTATTCAGTAGAAGTCAGACCTCTGCTTCTGTTGAAGTCAGAATACATATGCATTCTTTCATGTGTCTGTGAAGGTCTGTTAAGAACCTGTGAAGTTATCAGGTCAGGTGATTAATTTTAGTTACCATAATTTTGGAGGAAAAGCAACACCTCCAGCCTTCCTATCATCAGTAACAGTAATGCTAACTGATCTTCACTGAGTGCTACGGGCAGACCCTGTGCTTAGTGTCAATGCCTGAATGAAACCTCACAGCATGGCTACGAAGTTCAGGTTAAAGGAGGGGAACTACCTTGCCCAGGGTCACCTTTGTTGGGGGTGGAGTCAGTACTCACAACCAGGCAGTATGCCTCAAAAGCCAGTGATCTCGTCATCCTAAGGGCCCCTCCTGGGAAACCATCCACTCTCTGAGCCTGGGTACCCTCTGCCCCAGCATGTATTATCTTCTGCCGAGTCTTTTCCTAGGCCTCCTGGCTTCCTCAGCGCCCTCTGTTTGGCTGGAGGCTCTGGCCAGCCTTCACCATTGGACAGAGCCCCTTGGCAGAGTGCCTTGTGGCAGTCTCTGCTCAGGCACGCTTGTGACTTGTATTTTAATGGAGCTATACATACTGTAAAATGCATGACTCTTAATCATACAGCTTGATGAATTTTTAATGTGTTACACCCACCTCACCACCCCTACATCAGGATATTCATTACTCATGTCATCCCAGGATATTTTCTCTTGCCCCTTTGTAGTTAGTTTGCCAGAGCGATAACCACAGTTCTGATTTTTATCATCATAGATTCGTGCTCCTGACTTGTCCACATCCAAACACACTTGTTCAACACAAACAAAATAGAGATAAAACTGATTCTTTAGACCGTGTGGGTGACCCTTACCTTGCGCTCAGCGGGCGGGTGAGTCTAAGTAGGAAGCACGGATCTGCGGTTTCCTCTGTGAGTCTTTGTTCCATGGCCTTTTAGATTACAAGCATCTTGTGCCATCAAGTGTTCCTTGTATTTATAGAATTTAATTATCACACAACATGGCCCTGAAATCCAAGCCAGCTAATTCATATGGTGCTCAGTCCAAGGAACTTACTCCGGCACGAACAGAAAAACTGGCTGCGTTGGATTTTAGATGGCTTGCCAGTCTCCAGTGCGCATCTTTATTGTGAGATTTTTTCACCTGGGAATTTGGACTCTTCAATTTTCCTATTATGCTAACTTTTGATACCAACCCTTGAGTGAGTGTCAGTGTTAGTGCAGACAGAACTCAAGCCTGGATAAGTGGTGTTATTGGCTTTGGTAACCTGGATACTTCTGGTGATAAGATGGACTAAGCTGATTTGTGTGATTACTTCCTGATATGAACTCGAATTGGTGGAAATATAAGAATTATATCTAAGGGAGCTCATCAAAACAGGGAAACCCACCAGTGTTAAAAGTGAAGCGGAAGAAAAAAAAAAAGTGAAGCAAGAGTGCAGGGCGTGGTGGCATGTGCCTGTAATCCCAGCACTTAGGCGGCTGAGACAGAAAGATTGTTTTGAGTTTGACACCAGCCTGGGCTACAAAGTGAGTTCAAGTCCAGCCGGAACTGCACAGCAAGACCCTGTCTCAAAAACAAACAAAAAAAGTGAAGAGAGAAGTATGAGCCCAGTGGTGGCATGTGTGCCAAAGCTTCATGGAACCCACCTACAGGCCCGAGTCTAGAGGCTGAGGTTTTAATGCCACCTAGGCCGAGAAGTGAGGCCTGGGGTTAAGGAAGGGTTGAGTGCTCTGGAGCTTCAGGCCCTTGACTCCATGAAAGGGGGCTGGAAAAGCTCCACTGCATGGAGTTTACCTTGAGTCAACAAAGGGCAACAACAAGAAATTTAAAACCTGGTACTGTACCACATGTGGTTGTGCTAGGTTTATATTTATATTGATGTTTATGTTTATATATATATATATTTTTTTTTTCCAAAGTCAAAGTTTAATAGGTACACTATAAGAGCCGCGAGCAAGACGTACAGGTGATCTGTGCCTAGAATATGTATTTTTATGGCCTTTGAGATATAAGCCCCTTTAAACTGAGCAGTTAACATACTGGCCTAGTGCCCTGGCCCCCCCTCCCCACCGCCACAACACAAGCTCACTCCATAGGGGTATTTTAATAATAAGTGCTTAATGGGACTCCCACAGAAAGAACTTTTTTTTGGTACTGGGAATCAAACTCAGGACCTTACACTTGCCAAGCAGGCGCTGTGCTGCTGAGCTATATCCCTGGCCCAAGAACTACTTTTCTAAAGATGAGCTCACAAACACTCTGAGCTACTCAGAAAACAAAACACTCTAGTTTCAAGTAATAGTATCTTCTAAAAGAGGTTAGAAATGGTATACTTAAAATGATTAAGAGCTAAGAATATCAAAGTGGTAAAAATGAAAAAAAAAAGGATTAAGAATATTTGAATAGCAAAAATTGGAATGAAAACGTCATTACAATTTCAATTTGACAAAAGAATTAAGTGAAAGATTAGAGATAGCTAAAGAGAGAGTTAATGGGAAGACAGTAATAACAGCTAACATTTGTCAAGGATATAGCCTCCAAGACTGTTGTGTGTACTTTGCTTGTATTAACTCATGTAATCCTCAGTCAAAATCATGACAAGGCATTATTTATCATCTGTGTGTGGTAGACGAGGAAATCAAGGCAGTTCATTCCACTTGCCCAAGGTCATGTTGCCGAATGTAAGTTGCAGAGCTGGCATTTTGCCTTAAGCTGTCCAATGGAGTGTAGAGTCTTTGTTGAATTACTACACTATCAGAAATCAGCAAGAATAAGCACTAGGCGGTAGAGATGGACACATAATGTTCACATCTACGGAGAAGTATTTTTTTTTTTTTTTTTTGGTTTTTCTCCGGTACCGGGAACCAAACTCACGACCTTGCGCTTGCCAGGCAGGCGCTTTTTTGCCGCTGAGCTAAATCCCCAGCCCCGAGAGGCCGTATTAGAATGCACAAGGATTGGATTGCCTCCAGTCCTTAGGTTCCAACAATTTGTGACCTGGTCAGCATCAAGAGCAGAATATTCAGGGAAGGGTGGCAAGTCCCCAGATTCCATGCAGGTATGCACTGATGTGCTGGTAAATATGTCCAGTTGTATTTTAGTCACTTTCTAGTTGCTCGGATAAAATACCCCACACCTGCAACTTAAAGGAGGAAAAGTTTATTTCAGCTCATGTGTTCAGTGTATAGCAGTGGTGGTGAATTTGTGGCATGTGTGCCGTAGCGGGCTGCGTGTATCACTGAAAGCTCTGAAAGGGTCATCATCTCTGCTGCATAGTCTGCCAGCGCCAAGGCAGGACCGCATGGCAGAGGGCATAGTGCAGGGAAAGCCCCTCCTGCCGTGGCAGCTGGGGAGCAGAGAGTGAAGGGCAAAGCCGGGGGCAGGGGAACAACACAGCCTTCCAGGTCTTGTCCCCACGGACCTGGCTTTTCCACTGGGTCCCATGTCCTAAGCTCCCATGGGAGCTCAGCTGTAGGGACCTCACGTCTTGGTCCCTTTCCTCCTTGCTGAGACCCAGTGCTCAACACTGACAACTTGAAGAGAGGTTCATTTTGGAGGGGAGTTTGTAGAGGTTTCAGTCAGTAGTGCGCTGGCTCCAGAGCAGGATAGCGTGGTGGAGAAAGCGGCTCACCTGGTGGTGGACAGGAAGTGGAGAGAACCGAGCTGGGAAGGGAGGTAGACCCTTCCAAGTCAGGCACAGACCCCACCTCCTGAGAGCAAACACACTGTAAGCCCCCACTATGCGGTCACTTCCTGAAAGCCCGCCCATGGGCGTGTAGATGTAAATCATAACAAGCAGTCTCTCAGGAAAGGAAAAAGCCCTGAACTTTCGCATTTGCCACTCTGCTGTCGATGCTTCCATAGTAATTTTTTTCAGGCTACCAGTGTGTTGTCACTAAACTGGAGTTGGGAAGAGATGAGCACAGCCAGGCCTCGGGAGCCGTGTGTGCTGGCTGTGGCTTGGCCCTTGCTTCTATTTTAAGCTGTCACCCCTGGGCTATATATCCAGGGGTGGAATTTTCAGGAAGTAGTAATGAGTGATTCATGGGGGCAGGAAGAAACAGTGGGATAAGAGTGGTGCTCTGCCCTCCTTTCTTCCTTTATATTTAAAAACAAAACAACGTACAGTCACCTTTTGTGAATGTGGGCAGACAAACTGGCATAGCCCTTACACTATTGGTGAGAGTGAAAATTAGCACAGCCTCTTTGAAGAGCAATTTCTGCCTACCAGCACTTCTAAGTACACAGGCCTTCTGATCCTGCAATTCTGCTTCAAGGACTTTATTTATAAATCCCATCTTTATTATATAACTACATGTCAGGCTTCATATTATATGCTTGTAATCCCAGTACTTGGGGGGCTGAGGCAGGAGGATCGCTTCGAGTTTGAGGCCAGCCTGGACTACAAAGTAAGTTCAGGCCAGCTTGAATTACATAGCAAAGTCCCACTCTAAAAAAAAGACAAAATATTTTATAGCTGCGTATATGTAGGTTCGTGTTAACATTTATTCAGTGTGGCGTTGTTTATAATAGTGAGACCTTAGAAGCAATTTAAGTATATATCAATAGGGAATTGATTGGCTATATAGTGTATCCTTAGAGTTTTGTGCTACTGTTCAAGTAGTAGGTCACAGCCAGGCATGGTGGTGCATACCTATAATCCCAGTAATTGGGAGGCTGAGGCAGGAGGATTGTGGTGAATTCAAGGCCAGCCTGAGCTACATAGGGAGTTTGAGGCCAGCCTGAACTATATACCAAGACCCTGTCTCAGAAAACCAATAAAACAAAGCAAAACAAAAAACAGAACTAGGTCACCTGACAGAGGGAAGGGGATGAAAAAGGAATTAAGGTGTG